TGTTTCTTGTTAAAAAGATTTTTTTAATGTTTAAGTCCACACGTTATGCTTTGTGGTATTCTGCACTTTAAGATTCATCTCAGTGGTCACTTTTTAAACACCACAATGTATTAAATAAATACAAATGCTGGGAACCAATTCTTTTTTACATTTCTTTAATATTTTGTTCTATTCAGCTACACAAGCATCCTCTTTAAACAATTTATTGATATGCCGCACAATGTCCTCCTTTTTGGTGCTATAGAAATGGCCACCCTACTCTAAGCTCAAACAACAACCTGTCAGACAGCATGAAGTAGAATAGAAGATTTTAAAAGCAACACAGATCCAACCTACTGATCAAAAATTGGTTGAAAAGATATGACGTCTACATTTAGTTGAAAAGTGAAAGTTGAACAGCTGCATATTTTCAGATCGTTGTGACAAAGTTTAAAAACTGGTTTTCAACATCTTTTAATGTCTATTATTGGACTCAAGTGGGAAAACATCAGACTGACCAAACACACGCCAATTTTCATCAAGCATTTCTGCACTAAATCAAGACTATGACAAAGATAGTCTATGATTTAGCCTAAGAACCAATGAAGTCTGGTGTTTGGGGAGAATCAGATGAGGAGGAGCAGTCATTGCCATCCCTCATTCTGGAATGATCTACCAGATTCTACCTGATGCTCTGGGACTCCTGTAGACCCAGTCAGAACTGTTAACCAAAAAAATGGAACAATGGCAAATTCCTCTGGTGCCAAAATGACTCCAAGAATATAAAGACTCACTCAGAAGGTCACAGAACCATCCAGAACATCTTAAAAACTGAAGGCCTCACTTGTCTCAGCAAAGGTCAGTGTTAACACAAACGTGTTGCCGCATCAAAAACACGTCCAATGGCTCAACTTGGACCCTTGTCCATAATGAAGTGAGACGCTCTGAACGCTCCGAGTTCGAAGCTCTGGACTCTGCTGTGTAATCTGGAGAGCGGCTTGGCTTTATTTGCTTTGATGAGCAGAGTAAAAAAATAGTTTTAACACATTTTTAAGAGAGAAAGTCACCCTCAAACATCATCTGTGCAGTCAGTTCATCAAGGTAATGACTTAAATATTCAGTTCTTGTTCGGAGCAACCAATCTGATAGATTTTAAGACATTTAAGACAAGAAATTTTCTAAATTTTGGGATAAGATCGTCTGATAAAGAGTACATTTACATACGTGTTTAAACCAGAATGATTTGACATTTAAATATGACTTCCCTACGACTTTAAGTACGAAAACATTTTATGGAGTCATGATAATCAGAGCTCTCTGTTCCTTGACATAAAGAAAAAATTCTCCTGGCTTTTTATGTCAAACCAGTGGAGCGTAACCCCTTTATAAAAGGCTAATTTTCATAGTTTTACGCTGACAGCTCTGCAGAAGTAGCGATCACAGCCTGCATCTCTCCCTGACAGCCCCTGGATCAGCTTCTCTGATTGGTTGACATTCAGTGTCCAGCTGCAAAAGTTCAGATTTCAATTTCATTGGGTCTGAGAGTCTGGTTACCAGGAGACTGAGGAAAATGTCATCCCAGGAAGAGAATAAGTCCGAAATGAACACAAATATTCATCTCACGTTTGCCACAAACATCTCGAGACTATCTAACTGCTCATCCACGATGAGGAAATCCTGCAAAGTCAATGACTGGAAGGCCTGAGCGGGTTTTAGTTGTTTAATTCCGAGTGGATGATCTGATTGAATTGTTTTTATAAAAAGCTTTGAGATTTAATTCAATTCAATTCAGTTTCTTTCTATAGCTCCAATTCACAAAACATGTCATCTCAAGGCACTTTACAGTTCACCAGATCATCCAATCAGATTGATTCAAAGTTTTATATCTAAGGAAAATCAGTTGATCACATCGACTCACTGACTTGCAAACAATCCCTTTCACTAAGCATGCTTGTAGCGACAGTGGAGAGGAAAAACTCCCTTTTAACAGGAAAAAAACCTCCAGCAGAACCAGGCTCAGTGTGAGCGGCCATCTGCAGAGGCCGACTGGGGTTCAAGGAGACAGAAGCAGAGATACAGAAATAGCAACTGTAAACCAGCTTCATAGGCGGCCCTCCTGTCCAGGAAAAACACAGCCAGGCAGACGAGCTTCAAGCCAGCATTCATGTCAGCGGATGAAGAGAGCACATCCAGCCAGTCACAGTCAGAGAAACAGGACTACACTGAAAAACAGGCCAATCTCCAGCATCTATAAACAAAGGTGTTGATGGCAGCAGCACAGCTGATATTTCTCTCCAGGATGAAATCAAAGTAACTTAACTGAATTTAATTGAAGCTGAATTATTGCACCAGAAAAAATTATCATGAGCATAACCAAAAATCTGCCTCCTAATAGCTCAATGTAAAGGTTTTGTTGTGACCTAGTCAAAGTCCTCATCAGGTTAAAATGCAAGTGGGTAAACTGCTGCACTGGTTTCTGTCCAAAGAGGCACATGCAGTTAGCTTTAGGTTACAGGGAGCCATGTTCCTTCTGTTTTTAAAGTTTTTTTTTATTTACTCCTTGTTCCTGATCAAGACAGGACATTAAGAAAATTACTATAAAAGCTGCTGATGGACCTTCAGAGCATCGGATAAGCAATGGCTGCCCTAAAGTATAGAAATAAATAACCGTTATGTTATTTTTTGCTGTTTTAAACTTGGATAATGTGCATAAAAGAGATTAATATAAGGACATTTCAAAATGTAGACTTTTAAAAGTAAAATTAAGAGTCACCTTCTCAACTTCCACCTCTGCAACATCATGGAACGACCCGTCTGTTTCCAGGCGGACTCTCACCCGGCCTTCTGGGAGTTCAGGTGTGCCTTCATCTGGCTTCAGCTGAATGGCTGGAAAGACAAGAAATGAGGTTCTGAAAACAGACAATCCCTCATGTTCTGCTGAGCTGATGACGGCTCACAGGAAAGGACATCGCCGCTCTAACTGGATCAGCGCCAGGCAGTGAGTAGACGGGCAGCCAGGCTGGATATAAACAGCAGCTGTAACTAATCTAGAACATGATCGGCAGCCAATGCAAAAGGCTGGATCACTACAGATTGTGAGTGGATTAACAGATGATTTTACTAATCCCAAATCACATTACTGGAGAGATAGAGTCCGTTTAGACAAGGTGACAAACAGCTTTTATCTCTGTCAAAAGGTCCAACATAAAATCAGAAAATGAAGACTAGTCTCAGCTGTTCTGGTTCTAAGCTTTTGAGCTATAAATTACGAATAATGTTTGTATTTTTGTTATCAAGCTGATGAATTTTTAAAATCTTGTCTAAATACAACATGATGACGTAGTGAACCTTGTAACAAAGCAGGACTGTTCAGTAGTATTTCTTGCAAATAAAGGGACCACAAAACTTGTTAAATATCCTGATTTATACATTTGTATAAATATGTTGTTGTACTGATTACATTAGATTGAAGTACTTTTTAATCTGGTGAAACCATCAGACCATTTGATGATGCTCTGCCACTTTATAATATTCTATTCACCAATGCTCTACATCAGGTTTTTAGCGTAGGGCTCACAACCTCCTGTTGATCTTGGACAGAGGACGAGTGAAAAGGATTAAGGTTTATTACTCAAGTATAATTCCAACTGTTTAAAAAAAACACTTTTGTAGAAGTTGGAGTATCATCTTAAGCTTTTTACTCCAATAAAGGAGTAAAAGTACCATTTATGAAACTACTTACAAGTAAAAAAAAGAAAAAAAGTAATGCAGAAAAAAGATGTTAAGGACAGATGCTTTACTGCACTAGACTTTCCTTTATTTATTTTTATTATTTTTTTATTTGATCAGGATTAATGCACAAAAAAACAATAGTCTAAGAAAAAAAACAGATGCCAGGTTACAGCAAAAATGCTATTTTCAACTTTTTGATGTTATACTCTAAAGGAACATTTTTCTACAATTCTGGATGATAACTTCCTTAGACGTAGTGTTCTGAGTTTAACAACTATTGGTAACAGTCAAGTTTAACTTTGCATATTTTTTAAAACTATTTATTTTGGTATGTGGCGAACAACAGGTTGGGGCAGCACCGAGTCCAACCACCAAGAAATTAATTGTCTCGATAAAACAAATAATTTTGATGGTTTTTATTTCTTTTATATACAAACAGACCAAAAGGGAAATGAGCTCAAATGTATGGAAGAAAAACTGCCTCATTGGAATCTGACTTTTTTGTAAACCCAGTTTTAAACAC